TCGACCACGGCCTGCTGACCGCTGTGCATCGATCCTTGTAGCGCCCAGGAAAGACCCTCGGCAAGGGCTGGCCCATTGGTCCGGAAGTCATCGCACGCCTGCCGCAGCGCCGCTTGCGTGGTTTCGACCTCACAATACCTGGCTATCCAAATCAAGACAGGGCCAGGATGTACCCAGTATTCATATCGCCACATTTGCTCAACGAATAAATAGTGCATGGCTTCCGCAGCTAGTTCGGTGGCTCTGGATTCATCTAAGGCCAGTGGTGATTCGAGCCACCGAGAGGGCCAAGTCAGGTCCTTAATGGTTTCTGAAGCATCAGAGTTGGCCATGAAAAGGCCGATGGTGTACGAGACTGGGAAGTGCGTCCAACTAACTGTCACCATTGTGTTAAGTTTGTTAGAACAATCAGGCTTTGGAGGGGTGAAAACGTTGAAGGTCAAGGATACGAGTAGGAGTTGAAGCGGAAGGGGAAAGGCACATAACTGGTCCGCCAGTATCTTTTGAGGTCAAGGGTACAAAGGTTGGCCTTTGCGAAAGACACGCTGGCAAGGAGAGCATTCACAGCAGCATCCGCATTGCGAGAAAGCAGTCGCATGCGGGCAACCTGGTGCGGATGCAGCCAACAGAGCACCAGGCCAAGGAGGTCGGATGTGGAGAAAAGGCGTTCCATTGCGGAGGCTGGCGAGCTGCAGCTAACAGAAAACTAAAAAAAAAACAACTTTGTTTGTGGCCAAGAACGGGAAGAGCGAAATAAACGAGACGCGATTTAATTCATAAGCTGCCAGTTTGGCCTGGTCTAGTATAATATTGGTAGAAAATCAAGTGGAGTGATCCTCCCGCTCAGGCGTCAACAACAAGGTCTATAAGAAGCCCATCGAAAGCCGGCCGCGCACGGATGCTTGCCGCGTATAATGCGCATGCATTTCAGCAGTAGAACAGTAGCAGGTGGAGAGAGTGAGGAATTGAGTGAGTGAGTAATTGAATGTGAGTGAGGAAACACCCCCTTAAAAAAGTAACCATCACACAAGTAACCATCACACAAGCCCAGCAATATGAAAGATCTTGCTGAAGGCTGGAGATGTGAACGGAGAATCGACGCGAACTATGTACTACACGCCTGAACAGAAAAATCGGCAAGTAGGAAATCTCACCCAGCAGCAGCGAGCCGATCGTGATTCCTCAGATGCTCGGAGAGCTCATCGTGCTCGATCTTGTGGCCAATGTCGGTCAAGAACATGCGAACCGGCCTCAGATCGAGCGAAAGCTCAATGGATTTCTCCACACCCATGTGTGAGCTGTAAAATTCCACTGGTGTGTAGAGAGGTGTCAGAATTTACATAAGGTTAAGGTCAGGGAAAGGCGGTGACGATGCAAGGAAGAGGCTTATTCAGAACTCCATCATACTGTTCAAGCCGTCCAAAACGATGGTATGGCTGCCGCGAATGAGCTCCTTTTGCTCGGCGCCGACTTCGTTCGCGTCAGAGATGTACGTCAACCCCGGGAACATGAAGCCGTTCGAAAAGAACGGCCGGCCGTCGCTATACTTGCCGTGTTCCACTGCAGCAACAAGCTGGTGAGCCTCCAGATCAAGACGACAAATAAATGCCATGGGGAGGCGCACATCTGTGTCGCACCGTGAAAAACGATGACTTGCAGTTGTTCTATCCAAAACTCGGCCTCAGCGCCTGGTCGCAGGCGGTCGACTGGGACTCCGACCTCAGAGCGGTCTGGGCCATCCCAAATATTGAAGATGAGGCGTCCGACAGCCCCACCGCCCGTAACGCGGGCGGTGTCGGCAAGGTACGGAAAGGTCTTTTGCACCGTGATCAGGGTCTCTGCGCTCAAGTATACTTGAATCGGCGGCACGCCTTCGCCGAGCGACCACTGCCGAAGGTCGTCGAGGCCTTGATTGGCCGGGAGATATGTGTGTAATGGCGCAGTTAGAAGCGAAGGCGTTAAGTGTTGCGAATCGAGATTGGGTGAGAAACAAGTTAAGTGATTAATCACCCAATATAGCATCAGCGTGGCCGTGCGTCAATATGACGGCGTCGATTGTGTCCACCCCAAGGCGCGGAAACCACTGCGCTGCTCCAAAGGAGCAGAATGTCTTGCCGCAGTCAATCAGGATGTTCCGGACCCGACCGTCCTCAGCCGTGTAGCGGTACATCCCACTGGTGTTTCCGCGCCTGTTGCGGTTCCAGAGCGGTGTTGGGTCAACCTCTGTGCGCGTCAGACCGCGCCCGCTTCCGAGGGGGTCATCCGGGTCCACCCCACCAGGCTCGCTCGACTGGAGCGGGGCGGGGTCCCGCAGTCGGGTGGCCGGGACACAGGCCTTGCAGTTCGGGCTCGGTGGAGAGGTTAGGCACTTTACGCGGGGCGTAGAGTCGGACGACCCGGTGCCGAGGAAGACGAAGCGTGGGTCGCGCATGGCGGCGCGGCGAAGGACTTGGAAGGTGCGCGATCAGTGATCAGCTCGTTGAGATTTTTTGCATGTCCGGCGACAGCCAAGGTGGCAACGGCGAGGTCCGCCTGCGGCCATGGCGCGACGCGTTAGCCGAGGCCGCAGCGGCCGCGGGCGGGTCCGTGGCCGATCTCATTGGGCGCGAGCGAGCCAGGCGTGAGGAGGCACGCACAGCCGGGGGCAGCCGGGGCGAGCGTGTCAGCGACGACGACGAGGTCGCTGCCGCGGTGATTGGGCAGGACGAGTGGGAAAGCGCTCTTGCTGGTGAGGCCGAGAGGTGGAGCGCGGGCAGAGGAGGGAGTATTGAGTGTATAATATAAACGGTTCTGAAAACTACCGGAAAGGAGGAACAACCTCTAATACATAAAACATTTTCCAGCTCTCGGCCCGCTGCCCTCTCTGGTGTGTGCGCGGGCCACCTTGACCACCACTGCGCCGTTTCCGCTACCCTTTTCCCAGCCGAAGAACGACGGCACTGGGCTGCCAGCAGACAGCAACCGGGGTGTGCATGTGATACTGGACCATCCTGGACTCCCAGAGCCCAGTGTCGACCTGAGCGAGCTTCTGAAACCTACTTTTTTATTACCTTCTGACCTCGCATTATGATTTCGCTTTATATTGCTATTGCCTTCAGGATTTCGTCTCGAATGGTTATTAAACCCAGGAGTGGCTAATTTCAATACATCAAGCGCACTCGCAAAAGTAAAGGCCAATGGAGATCGTTTATGGCACACGAAAGGGTTGGGGGAGGGGCTTAATCTCGCGAACATATTTGGAAAACGCGAAATGACAAAGCCCGCCCCAAGAAAGAGAAGCAAAGGAAAGCAGAGAATGAGGGTTCGTAATGTCTTTTCACGCGGAGAGTCTAAGGACCCTGGTCACGATACCGACGGCGGCGACGGCCAGGGCGACCTGGCAGAGGAAGCCCGCGCCGATGACCAGTTCGTTTTTGCCCATCCAGTTGCCGCCAATGAGACCGAAGGAGAAGGTTGCGGTGTGAAGCCACGCCACGCCGTAGAAGAAGCCGACGAGGGCGGCGCCAGAGAGGCGGTGGGCTGCCCAGGCCGAGGCACGGGTGCGCGCGGGAAGGAGCATCGGGCCGGCCTGTCGCATGAAAGTGCCAAAGACGGCCTGTGTTCCCAGCCAACCGAGGGCGGCGAGGCCCAATAGGCCGTGCCATGTGCTGAAGTGGGCGCGCGATTGCGTGTTTTTGTAGTAGAACTCGATCTGGTTAAGTCGCGGGTGGTGAGGGGTGTTAAAGCACAGGAGGCGAGCGGAGAAAGTGGAGCGAGACTTTGGTTTAGTGGCGGTGTAATGAAGGAATAAGCGAAGTAAACTCGGAAACCCCACCCCGAATCCAAGGAAGGCGGAGGCGGCAGCCGCGAAAGCAAGGGCCGCGTGGGTATCGATCTGCTGCTCCCGAACCTGAATTTGCCGAGGAGCGTAGATTCACACATTTGAGCGTTAGCGCGTTGAACTGTAAGCTTTCTAAAGAGCTCTAGAGCAGGACGGACTGGTAACTCACCACGGCGGAAGGGGCGGGGGCGGCGCTCTTCTTCGGGCCGGCCTTGCTGTTGCTCCTTCTCTGCTTCCGTGCCATCGCAATGCAGGCCTCAGCGACGAGATACATGCCGATGGCCATGGCGGGCGGGTGGACGGTGTGCAGAGTCAGGCCGGAGGCGGCGGCGCCCGGCCCAAAGACGGCACTCGCCGTCACAACGGCGGCGATGGCGAGAGAGGCCGCCCGCACGGAAGAGTCGGAAAGAAGCGCGCTGGCCATATCAAATTCGCAATGCAACTTCGAGCGTGGTACGGAACACGTGAATTTATACTTACTGAGTTGCTTAGAAATCGCCCCACGCTCCTTGCTGGAAGTTGCCGCCGTTACCACTCATTCAGCAGGCAAACTTAGGCTCTGTCGTGCCAAGATGGATGTAGTCTAATTATGTGTAGCTTCAAATTCGAATATTTGTGATTGCAACACTGGTCCGTCCCTTCCTTATTGGTCTGAACTTAAAACTTCCTACACTTTTTAAAAGTTTTTTACTTACCTTGACCCCAAACACATTTGATTTTGTTGTGTTATATAGGTATGGGTAGCTCTGCTTCTCTTCTACCAGGACACAAATTCTTAGAATTGTAGCATTTCTGCGTTATTTGGAAAAAAAAAGTGTAAGAAAACACCGTTTATTCTGTCTATTTTGTGGATTCGATCTGCTAATCTATGCTTATCAGTTGCGTATATACCAAGAACGTGTCATTCCATTTCATACTTTATTATCTTCCCTCCGGTCTTATCCCCTTACAACTGCTTGGGTGCCCAGCTGCCATTGTCTTCTCAAAGTCAGTTATTGCCTCAGTGGGAGCAAATATATGAGATTCTGCATTGACCAAATATTGTATGTCCTGATAGATTAGAAGCAGGGCTGTGTGTGCATTTATTACAAAAATTAAAAATCCAACGTGTTTCGGGTCGGTGGCAAGCAAAGTACGACCACCCAGTATGCAAAACACAAAATGTTGCTCGACATCAGTTTGCCAGCACTGAGGATTGAACTCAGGACCTTTGCATTACAAGTGCAACGCTCTACCACTGGGCGATACTGG